AAACACATGAATAAGTTTACAGAATGGAAGACAGTTAGAAGCCATAAACATAATATCCATGGATTATTGGGATTAATGTCAGGTTAAAGAAGAAAGTCTAGTTGCTTTTCTTTCTAACCTAATTGATTCAAACACAAGCCTGTTGCATAATTTTATTTCAAATAAAAGCTATGCCATAATTTTCAAACATTTTGGGATCATTCAAATGCATGTTTTTAATTTACAGTATTTGAGAGTAAATCACAATTTGTATTTGTCCACTCATGGCCTTCACTAAATAATTTATTATTGTTATTTAATCTTGACAATAATTACTTCAAAATGTGTTATTATTTACATTTTACAGCTGAGGAAACTGAGTTCATATGTTAAGCCATTCAGGACTTAAAAGTCTTCACTACATGGCTACTCACTATATGTGTTATGCTTGTGATCGATGTGAAGATCAACAAGTGAGTCTGTTAAAAACTACATTATAAGTAAAGTTTAAAAATACAAGGCAAGTAATCCTATCTAATAAAAGAGAAACATGGTAATTGGCGTATGACTGGTACCCTTCCCATTGGCTAATCAGGGAGATATGCAAATTAACTGCCAGCCAAGATGGCGGCCAGCAGCCAGGTAGCTTAAACTAACATGAGGCTTGCTTCCTTCAGTGACGGAGGAAACCAACGTTCCCCACCTGCCTTGCAGGCCTCTGAGCCTGCAGTTTGAAATATTTTAACAAATATAGATGCTAAAAAAACCGCAGAAACCTGCTTTCAGCGAGCTGGGATCTCAGAGCTGGAGTTGAAACAGTGTTTCCATTATAGAACCCAAACAAATCAGATACCTGCTTTCAGCAGCCGAGGCCTCAGAGCTGGAGTCAGTTGGGAGCCATCACGGGCCCTGCTCTGTGTGTGACAGGGTAGAGCCATAACCTCTGTTTGTGACAGGGGAAGGCGCCCCAATCTCCTGATCAGCCCTGCTCTGTGCCTGATACGGGGGGAGTGCCCCAACCTCTGATCACCCTGTGGCTTTTTGTGTGACAAGGTGCGGCGCCCCAACCCCCTGATCGGCACTGCTCTGTTTGTGACAGGGTGTGGCGCCCTAACTCCCCGCCTCCCCAGGGGCCCTGCTATGTGTGTGACAGGGTAGAGCCATAACCTCCACATCAGCCCTGCCCTGAGTGTGGGAGTGGTGACGCCCCAACCCCCTGATCGGCCCAGCTCTGTGGGTGATCGAGGGCGGCGCCCCAACCCCCTGATCCGCCCTGCTCTGTGTGTGACAGGGGCGTTGCCCCAACTCCCCTATGGGCCCTACTCTCTGAGTGACAGGAGGGAGCTCCTCAACCCCCTGATGGGCCCTGATCTGTGTGTGACTGGGCGGAGCTCCCCAACCCCTTGATGTGCCCTGATCTGTGTGTGACTGGGTGGAGCTCCCCAACCCCGTGATCAACCCTGCTCTGTGCGTGACAGGGGAAGGAGCCCCAACCCCCCTGATGGGCCCTGCTCTGTGTGTGACAGAGGGCAGAGCCCCAACCCCCGGATTGGCCCTGCTCTGTGCATGATGGGGTGGCACCGCAACCTCCCCATTGACCCTGCTTTGAGTGTGACAGGGGGCAGTGCCCCAACCCCCCAATCGGCCCTACCCTGAGCTTGACTGGGGGTGGCATTGCAACCTCCTGATCCGTCCTGCTCTGTGCATGACAGGGGCAGCGCCCCAACTCCCCAATCGACCCTGCTCTGAGCCCGACCAGGGACTGCACCTAGGGATTGGGCCTGCCCTCTGCCACCCGGGAGCAGGCCTAAGCCAGCAGGGCGTTATCTCCCGAGAGGTCCCAGACTGCGAGAGGGCACAGGCCAGGCTGATGGACCCCCCTTCCCCCTGAGTGCACAAATTTTTGTGCACCGGGCCTTTAGTCCTATATAATAAAAGGCTAATATGCAAATAGACTGAACAGCAGAACAACCAGAACAGCTGAACAATTGAACAACTGAACAACCGGTCACTATTACGTGCGCTGACCACCAGGGTGTGTGTGCGTAACATGTCAGGTGTTGGCCATGGTGGGATGGTGGAGCAGATGAGCAGGGGCTCCAGACCAAGGCAGGGAGCCAATCTCTTTCATTGGGGCAAGCCTGTGGTGGTTACTAAAAATTCTTTGCTCCCACGTGCTGTGGCTCCATCCGGCACTCACGCCTGCTGCCAGCGTTGGCCCTGCTTGCACCTGCAGCCGGTGCCAGAGCCACCACTTGCACCCACTGCCATTGCCCAGTGCCAGTCTTGATCACTTGGCACCATCAGGGGGTGCTTGCAGTGGCTTCCAGCCCTGATCACCCTGAGGGCTTCTCCACCTTCTCCGGCTCCTGAGGGGTGATCGGGCCAGCAGCTGCCACTTGCACCAGCTGATGACTCCAGCCCTGCTCGCACCTGCTGCTGGCGCCATCCCCAATCACTCTGCGCCCTCTGCGGGTGCGAGTGGGGCTGGCGCCATCAGAACATGGGAGGCAGCAGGAGTGGGGTTGTTGGCAGATAGGGGACCGGGGGCCATGGCGGAGGCACAGAGGATGGACTCAGACCCGCCCCTGTGCCTACCAGAGCCTTCAGCTCAGTTCCTTTCAAGGTGCACAAATTCATTCACTGGGCCTCTAGTAGTGATATAAAAGGAGTAAAAGAAAGCACTGTGAGGACTCAGAGCAGGGGAAAGTCACAATATTTGAATGAGAGTTTATGGCAGCACCTAAGGAATAGTTGGCACTAAATATTCGAGGTGACACTAAATGGAGGGATTGAATTTTGTCAGCTTGAGATTACAGAGGAGAGAAGGTGATAAATGCAGAGATGAAGATGTGAGTAAAGAGAAGGATGAAAAATTAACGAGAATATAGTCATGAGTGATGGTGCCAGTTTGAGTGGTCTTCAGGTTACTGGTAGGACAATAGGAGCACTAGAGGCTGGGAAGGTAGTTTGGAGATGATAGCTGGAAACAGAAATGGAAAACAGAATTTGAGGGAACAGAAGTGACAATTACCCCCCCCCCCATAACTGCTAATTTATTTTTAACAATTATGGGGGGAAAGGGGAATTTCTATTGGAGGGACTAAAGTGAGAGACCAGGGAGATGTTGGGATTGGCAGGGAAGAAATAATTAAGCATTTCCAGGAGTCTAGCTGGAGGATAATCTAGTATAGAAAGATTTCTTATTTGACTTCTCTCTGTGTAACACAAAGCATCTTGTTCAGTGCTAAACAATGGGTAAGAAACAGAGGAGGAGTGAATAAAGGATGAGTGAATGAATGAATGAACATTAGAAGGCTGCAATGCAATTGTAGGAAAGGGTTGGCTAGAAAAGACATTGCAGTGAACACATATATAAGAACTAGTGGCTCGGTGCATGAAATTAATGAACATTAAAGGGGAATTAATTAGAGGAAATATTTTAATATTGCCATTTGCCCTTTCTCTATAATAGAAGTGTCAGAGATGAAAGAAAATTAATAAAATGTATATGAAAATCTTCCTCCTGTCAGAGTCTTGGGCACGCCACAGGATCCAGAGTCAAGTACCCACCCATCCGCATGCACTTCGAAATCATGCAAGACCCAGACCCGGCTGGCCCCACCCCCATTGGGCAAGTTCCAGACCTGGCCGGCCCCACCCCCATCAAGCCCTGCTGGGTGGGGGGGTGCAGCCTCAGGTCCCCTGGTGCACCCTTAGGTCCTCTGGCCTGGTGCCGGGGCAGGGGGCATGGCCTGAAGCCCCCCATCAAGCCCCATTGGGCAGGGAGGCAAGGCCTGACATTCCCCCATCAAGCCCCATGGGGTTGGAGCGGGGCGCAAGCTCAGGTCCCCCACCCTGGCCTGTCACCACGCAGCCTCAGGTCCCTGCTGATTGCTCATTATGGGTCATTACAGGAACCCCTCCTCCAATGTGGGCGCAGCCATCTTGTGATGGTGTGATGGAGTGAGGGTCAATTTGCATGTTACCTCTTTATTATATAGGATTGGTAATTTGAGGGTAAGATGTCAGTCATGATTTTGAAGTTGAGTTAGGGTAACTGGAAGAACAATAATGTCAAAAATTTTAAAAAAACAGGAGGGAGTCTTAGTTGATGGGGCACAGTAATGGGAATTTAATTTTGGTTATACTTAATACAAAGTGTAGATATATTTTTCTGCTGTTTTCCCCCACCTGAGCAGGCAGACTAAAATTCATGACTAGAAGTTTGGGGACCAGATTTTATTTCTCTGTAAAATGAATGGCTTAGAAAAGGTAATATGTTTATTTCCTCCAAGTTCTAATAGTCTAAAGTTCTGTTTCTACTGAGACTTGGAGTTATTCTATAAGACATAAGAGAAGATGTGATCACTATGAACGTGGAATAAGAGCCACAAAGATGAGTGACAGATTCTTGGAGAATGTCCTCGTAGAAACAACTATGAGATGGCTTCAAAGAATATAAGGAGAGATAAGTTCCTAACTATGGAGATAAAAAGAGATAAAAACAACCACCACAATATCATGAACACTCTGTTCTGGGAAACCCAAAGTATTTTAGTTATAGGTGTTGAACCAAATGAAATTGCCAATATCTTGCCTTTTATAACCCACAAAAATGGCAATTTCATATGGTTTAAATAATTAATCAATTCTTTACTATGCATTCTAATGAGTGACTCCTTAAACTTCATGTTACTTAAACTTTCAGTTGTATCATTTTTTTAAAAAAATATTTTATTGATTTTTTTACAGAGAGAAAGGGAGAGAGATAGAAACATCAATGAGAGAGAATCTGGTATTCAGAATTATGGACAGTGTTTATATAATATACTTCTAAGTCAGGGAAATAAGCAGAAAAGTAAGCAATTGCAGAGACAACCAGGATGCAGGGAGCTAGGAAACAGCTGTTGAGGTCACATGCCAGGTCAGCTCTAACCCCAAACCCCACTTCCTTTCTTATTTATGTACCTCAGAAAAGGACTCAGGTCTAGTCCTAAATGGAAAAAATAGAGTATAGCTTAAAACAAACTGCAAAGTCATATTTATTTACATTAAAATATGAATGACCTGTATACACACAAATTTAAGAGGCACAATCTGTTATGTACATATTACACAGTACTATCCGTAGATACATCAGTGGTTTGAGTGAAAACACAGTACCAAAACATTCCTGATATAAAATAAATTACTCATTCACATAATCTAATTATACAAGACATCTAATATTTTAAAAGTTATATACCTCAAAAAACACTAGCTAATTGTATAGCTAAAATGTAATGTTTGTTTTATGAAGAATGTCTTCATATTCTTATACATAAATGATCAGTTTTAGAATCCATTTTTATCTTTTAAATAAGCTACATTGATGCCGTCTATATATAGCCTGCTAAAATGATTGAAGACAGACATTACTTCATCTTTTAAAGTTGAAACTATACTAGAGAATATGCTAAACTATTGCCCCAATTCCAACACTGCCATCACAATTTTCAAACACAATCAAGTTATTTAAATTCCAATTTTAGAGTATGAGATTCATTGCCCTATTTTGAAATTGTTTCCTCTAAAAAAATATTATCAGATTGTCCTAAACTATCTCTTATTTTGGAGAAATTCAGGTTTAAAAAAAACATCTTAAAACGCTTTAGGTTAAAGCTGATTCTGTATGTAGAGATTTTGAGAAATTGAACACTTTAAAGAGCTTCATAAAAAGATTGTTTTCAGTTTTAAAATCTATTAAAGATTTATATGAAGTCCAAGAGAACACTTGAATATTTTCACAATGCAGTGAAGGTTTCATCTTTGGCATTTCTCCATTAGTTCTAAAATAAAATACATCAACGAACATTTTATATTTTTCTATCTACTTCAGACATTTTCTGTACACAAAGTGTTTGAAATTTCATTGCTACGGAAGTTTTATAGATCTGCAAAGAAGTGTTAACATTTAGCTTTTAATTGAGAAGTTGAAATGTTCTGATGTTGCTGAAATGAGTTTACTCAGTTCTTTTTCAGTAACTGAAAATTCAACATCCTGTCAAATTTAACAATGGATAAGGTAGACAAAATTTAACAAAAATACTGACCAGAATATAATTTTTTAATAATGATATAAAGCATGCCTCTATTAAGGAAAAAACATGAGCATCACAGAAACAAAACTGCTATATTTTCTTTCTTGGTCCCTGTAGCTTTCCTAAAAGGAAATAGACCAAAACAAAACTGCTACTAATGCTGATTGGTAGAAATTTTTCACATTGTCTTCCATATTAGATTTCCACATTACTTCCAATATCCACGGGTCTTTTTATCTCTTCATACACTAACCTTAAGGCTAAAAATTGTCCAAGTGTGACTATTTTAAAATGACAGTAGGAAATAATAGCAAGGTTTTTATAAGTGAGCATGTTTTTCCTCATTCAAAACTAAATATGGGGAAAAATCTCAGTAAAACTGAATCAGATACCAGCTACATTACCCAGGACTAACTGAAAATAAGCAAAGAAACAAAACAAAAACATAAAACAAATACTGTAGCTAATTCCTGCTATTTATCAATGTCTGCAAAAATCTTGAATAACAAAAACTGACAGTAACAATGGTTTTATTGTCACATGAATGTATTTTAAAAAGGCTATTAAAAACTCCCCATTGTTTGCTAACCAGGCAGAATCATGGAAATCCAAGCAGCGAATGATGCACAGCAGATAAAGGAACTAGAATATATAAATTGGGTATTTTCTACTATCTGCTATTGGAACATTTGAATAAATCTATAGCTATTTCAGAAAGAGAAATATATCCAATGAATGTATTTGAAAAATCTGGAGAATGCAGATTACATGAATAGATACATAATGGGGTATTGAATCTGTGAAAGTAATTTTGTTATATAATATGGCAATTATTGAATATCACACATATAGCTTATATTAATACTTCTATCTCCCAGCCAATGCTAATACCTGACATCAACACCATCCTTCAAGTATAGTTCAAATTATTAGTTACATGTGATAATCAAGTAAATTAATTGGCAGTAGACAATGTTCACAGAAAACAATTTTAAGTGCATATGGTTATCTACTTCCAGAATCCAGAAAATATAGCCATCCATGCTCCTATCATTTTAGAAGTATTTCAGGAATGGGACCTCTCCAAAAATCAAACAGGATCAATCTGGTCACATTAAATCTTAAAACAAATGTTATGTAAATTTTGTATATCTAAATGTTGCCTTTTAGGTAAATTTTTGAGATAGTTTAGACACTTTGTTTTTTGAGGAGGTGGCCTGATAAGATCACAAATAATCATTCTTCCAAAATTCAGTTGAAATTGGTCTTTTGTAAATGCTTATTGGGAATTTCTAAAGCACTGACTTGAAGAGGCCAAGAACCTCCATCAATCCCTGCTTGGATAGCCACTCCCGTCACCACTGCCAGGTCAGGGTCTACAGACGTGTTGGGATCCTTTCCAAAGAACTCCTGAATGACTTGACGGATTCGAGGAATACGAGTAGAGCCCCCAACCAATACCACCTCATCAACTTCAGTCTTCTCCAGGTGGCCTTCTTTCAATACTTGCTGAATGGGTACCAGTATTTTCTGGAAGAGATCTTCATTTAGGGTGTCAAAGAGCTCCCGTGATATTTCTGTTTCAAATAAAACCTGACTTTCTCCACTTTTCTTTTCAGAAAGGCCAGCTCCAAACATGCTGCTCACATGGTGACCATCTGCTGGGGACAGTCTGTCCTTTGACAGTTCAGTGTCACTACTCGGAGTTTCCTTCTTGTCCTTTTCCTCTACTGTTAGTAACACTGACATTTGAGCAGATTGATGAAGAGTCAGATTTAATTTGACCATTTCCACAGCTTGTCTTAATCTGTGAATTTCCTCTTTCCTAGAGGGTAGGAAGCCATATGTTTGATAGATCTGTTTATATAAGTACTGAAGCAATCTCTGATTGAAGTCCTGTCCTCCAAGTTTATTGTTTCCTAAGTTAAAAATAAAAGTTTATATTATAGTTATTCATATATGTGTATATACATGTACTTATTCAGCATGTATACATAAATATAATTTTATTGGAGTAACAAAGTCTGTATTGAAGATTTTAAGATTGTATTCATACAAAAAATGATTAAAAATAACAGGGTTGAGATGACTTTAACTCGAATGCGTACTATGAACTAAACAGTGCAGCCATGGCTGATGTAGAGCAATGTTCTGCACATCAGAAAGTGGCGGGTTCCATTCCCTGCCCCAGTCAGGGCATGTACCCAGGTTGCAGGTTCGATCCCTGGTTCGGGTGTGTGCAGGAGGCAGCCAATTGATGTTTCTATCTCACATCAATGTTTTTTTCTCTCTCTCCCTTCCTAAGAACAAAAGAAAAAAAAAAAAAAAAAGACCTCTATGCCTTTCCACATCCCAGTCCCAGGAAATTACCAATACTCTCCGTTGGCTATATTCCTACTTATAAAAAAAAACAAACCCCAAAACAAAAAACAAGAAATGTGCACATCTGGGTTAATTTTTTTAAATGATGTAAAAGGAAGTATCTCTTAATGATATCAAATAGTTTTTTCAGAAAATAGATTGAGAACACAGATTGGCTTTTAGGTAACAATTTAGAAACACTTCCTAAGAAGAAAGTCCTTCTTATAATTAAAACGTACCAACAGGCATTTTATCTTAAAAAAAAAAAAAAATCCTTTGCTTGTATGGTTAAGAGCTGAAAAGCAGAAAAAAAATAATAACTTAAAAGGAAAAGAGTAATAGAATATAAATCCCCAGCACTAAACTTCATTCTGAAGAGAGTCCAGTTAGGAGGAAGTCAAATGCAGAAGTTAGACTACGTATAACTTACAGCTCCACTTTTTTTTTAAGAAGATTCGTCTTTATTTATTTATTTTTAATATATTTTATTGATTTTTTACAGAGAGAAAGGGAGAGAGATAGAGAGAGTTAGAAACATCAATCAGCCGCCTCCTGCACATCTCCCACTGGGGATGTGCCCGCAACCAAGGTACATGCCCTTGACCGGAATCGACCCTGGGACCCTTGAGTCTGCAGGCCAATGCTCTATCCACTGAGCCAAACCGGTTTTGGCTACAGCTCCACTTTTCAAACAGGCTTATTCATCCCTTAAGCTAAATTAAAACAAAAACCTTTTTAAAAGATTTAGAATGCAAAATCCTATCACTTCCTAAAGAATACTAAAGATATCTATTTTGTGAAACAGATTACCTAATGAAATCAACTGATCACTCTTCATTTTAAAAGAATTTCTTTCCTTCTGTTCCCTTTACCATAGCCATGAAAAGCATTGGCTCAGTGAGCTACCACTGGCAGTGTATTTATCTGACTTATAGGATGCACAGTCATTTTTGTAAATACATATAAATGGAGGCATAAAATTACATATATAGATTACCAAAATGAAGTCAAAGAATACTGAAAAAAATTAAACACTTCACACATTAGATATGCTAATGTGTCTAAACCTCTTTAACTCTCTCTATAGTTTTCTTACCTGACATTGCCCTGGTTAGAAACATTCCTCCTTGTTTATTCAGTAATGACACATCTAGAGTTCCTCCGCCCAAATCTATCACCAAGACATGAAAGACATCAGCCTTGTGGAGACCATAGGCCATAGCTGCCGCTGTGGGTTCATTTATTACCCTTAAGATCTTCAGTCCTGTAAGATGGGTTGGAGGAAAGAATAGCTCATGAGAAGACACAATAAAGAAATTCAATCTCACTCAACCTCACGTTAGTGTCTTCTAAAGATCAAATTCTGCTGGTATAAAAAACTCCACTCAGTAATACTGAGAAAGAACAGTCATAAACCCAATAAAACTAACATAATGTTATTGTTCCTCTAAATAGGTATCATTAAAATTATTCTAAAAGATTATAATAGAATAAAATAAAGACCCAGATTCAGTGGAATATATGATTCTATTCTTAATTCATACTTCATTTAAACAAAATTCTGAGCCTCTTCTTATTGTCATATTTTACTTGGGAATTTATGAGCAATAAAATTTTAATCATTATATAGCATAACAAACTGCTATGGAAATGAGATAAGTTTACTGTGCTCTTCTGTTAAAAATGAAAGATGAATAAACAGAAAATAATTTTAAAAATCTAGATGAGATGCTCTAATACCTATAATTATACTTTTAAAGAGTACTTAAAATATAAGACCCTCAAATGTGAATCTAAAAAATACAGCTAATCTGATTTTGATTTGTTGTCTATGTGTAGGCAAAGGATCAGATTTCCTTGAGCAAAATTCCTGCTTTAAACTAACTGCCACACGAGTGGTCTGGAAAGTAAGAAGGCTTTCTGTATCAGGAGCCATAAAACTATTCAGACTCTTAAGAATTTATTCAAAGATTGTAATACCCTTCACCTTAGTTCTCTGGCTTCATCACTCACTCTGCCCTGGCCACACTGGCTAATGTACTATCTTCTTAACAGCAAATTCCCATTTTGTGGCTTCCCCACTGGCCATTCACTCTCTCCTGCAACATACTTCCCCTGTTTTCTTGGCTATCTACCTTGCTTCTCTTAAATCTGCTTAAATGTTATTTTCCCAGTGAGGTTTACCTGACCACTCTCTTTAAAACCTGCAAGACCCCCTATTCTCTAACCTTTTTTATGTTTTTCCCCCCATAGGATGTTACTTTCAGATTTTTTATCTAGGTTTCCTACCAGAGGCCAGGTTACTCCTCCAGGGACATTTGGTAATATTTGGAGAAAAAAAAGATCGTCACCCCTTAGGTGGTGAGGGTTCTGTTAGCATCTGGTAAGTAGAAGCTAGGGATGCTGCAAAATATCCTATAGTACATTGGACAGTCCTCCACAACAAAGAATTATCCAGCTCAAAACCTCAATAATGCTATAGGTGAGAAATACTTAACAAGTATATTAAGTACCCCATAATATACTTATCTTTGTGCTGATTTTGAGTTTCCCTCTAGTAGAATATAAGGTCCACAAGAACTGGAATTTGTCTGTTTATATAGTCCAGATTTATATTTATATAAGGGATATAACTTTTCAATATAAATTCCATGAGAACAGATACTAGTATATATTGAGACACTCCGATTTGTTGAATGGTGTTAAATGAATTCTCCCCCACCTCGAGACTTTTTAAAAACATTATATTTGTCTTAACATTAAAGAAAGTTTAGAAGAAAAAACTTATTTCTAACATGTGTCCGTGGTATCTTGCAGCGTTTGTCATGTGCCTGACTGGTTGTTGTCAGTTCTATATTTTATATTGTCCTATAGACTTTCTTAATTATCATCTGCAAACTTATATCAAAATCTAATTTACCTGACATATAGTTTACGTGCTTAGTTAGTTAGTTGTTTTGCAAAGGGATACATCTTACTATAGAAAATTTTCAGCCTCAGAAAATTTTGATAAAAATGTAACTCAGGCAAGGGTAATATTACCTGCAAGGTTAGCAGCTTCAATTGTTGAATTTCTCTGTTTTAAATCAAATTCTGCTGGCACAGAAATAACTGCGTTGGCAACTGGCATTCCAAGATATTCCTCTGCCATTTCCTTTAATTTCAATAGTAGTCTAGAGCCAACATATTCTGGGGAAACGGTGATGGTCTCATTACTTGTCACAGAAAACTCAACCATTCCATTTTTGTTTAAAACCTGTGAATAATAGGAATAAACTTAACTAAGGAGGTAAAAGACCTGTACTTGGAAAACTACAGGACACTGAAAAAAGAGATAGAGGAAGACATAAACAAATGGAAGAATATACCGTGTTTGTGGACTGGTAGAATCAACAGCATCAAAATGTCCATACTACTCAAAGCAATTTATAGATTCAATGCAATCCCCATTAAAATACCAATGGCAGCCCGGCCAGCTTGGCTCGGTGGTTGAGCGTCGGCCTGTGAACCAGGAGGGCACGGTTTGATTCCCGGTCAGGGCACATGCTGGGGTTGTGGGCTGGATCCCCATTGAGGGGCATGCAGGAGGCAGCTGATTGGTGATTCTCTCTCATCATTGATGTTTCTCTCTCTCCCTCTCCCTTCCTCACTAAAATAAATACAATGTTTAAAAAAATAAAACTGTCTACATCTTAAAAAATAAATAAAAATAATAAAATACCAACAACATATTTCGCAGGCTTAGAACAAACTCTACAAAAATTCATATGGAATGAAAAAAGATCCCAAATAGCCACAGGAATCCTGAGAAAGAAGAACAAAGTTGGAGGGATCACAATACCAGATATCAAGCTATATTATAAAGCCACTGTTCTCAAAACTTCCTGGTACTGGCACAAGAACAGACACATTGACCAATGGAACAGAACAGAGAACCAAGCCCTTATGCTCAATTAATATTTGACAAAGGAGGCAAGAGCATACAATGGAGTCAAGACAGTCTCTTCAATAAATGGTGTTGGGAAAATTGGACAGATACATGCAAAAAATGAAACTAGATCACCAACTTACACCATTCACAGAAATAAGCTCAGAATGGATAAAGGACTTAAACATAAGATAGGAAACCATAAAAATCTTATAAGAATCCATAGGCAGCAAAATATCAGACATACTGTATGTCTTAGCAATATCTCTACCAGTACAGCTCCTAGGGCAATGGAAACTAAGGAGAAAATAAAAAAATGGGACTACATCAAAATAAAAAAGCTTCTGCACAGCAAAAGAAACCATCAGCAAAACAACAAGAAAGCCCACTCC